AAAGGTAATAAGAAATATAGCCTAATTTAATTTAAGGAAATAACCTTTTTTTAAAACCCTTTTTAAGTCTTTTAAATTTAATAGCTTATAATTAATTTAATTTAAATTAATTAAATTAAAATAATTTATATAATAAATTAAATTAATTAAATTATAATTAAAAATAGCTATTTTAATAAAATTAAATTAATATTTTAATAAAAAGTTTTTTTTAATAGTAATTATTATTATATAAATCTTTTTTAATTCTTTTTTATTAACTTTTTATAAAGTAGGCCTAATAGCTATATTAAGGTTATAGCTAGTTATATAATAGGCCTAATTATATAGCTATAGGCTATTTTATATAATAGGTATTATATTAATAGCTATAGTTAATACTAATAGTTATAATTAATAAAAAGAAAGTTAAGTTAGAAAATATACTTTAAAAATATAATAAACTTAATTTAATATATTAAATAGGTTAATTAAAGATCTTTTAGTTAAAGTAAAGAAAAAAGGCTAATATAGCTATTAAAAGACCTATAGGCAGTATTAATATTATTTAATTAAAGTAGTAATTATATTATTAAGGCAGATAAACCTTATATAATTTTAACTTTAGAAATATAGGCCTATTATAGAGGCCTTATTATTTAAGCCTTAAAATAAAAAGTTAAAAGCTTAATAGCCTTATTAAGCTAATAATAAAAAAAAATAATTTAAATTAAAAAAAATCTTTTTTTATATTAAAAATAAAAATAAAAATATATTTTTTTATATTTAATACTATAAATAGCCTTTTATTTTTATTAATAAAGTTAAACCTCTTACCTTAAAATACTTACTATAACTATTATATTATATATAAATTAAATATAAATAAATTATATTAAAAAAGGCAAGTTCTCTTTTTTCGGTTTTATCTTTACTATTTATTACAGCACTGGCAAGCTCTGTTGCTAAACCCTGAGTATGCCATACCTGAATCAGTTCTTCCGCCTCCGCTTGGTTCCTACCAAGCCTTCACTTCTACTATGCGCAACATCTGCAGCTGTCACCTGCACCAGCAATGGGAAGCTTTCATTCTGTCGTGCTCCATTAGTGACAGCCTTGCTACGCCTTGATGGGGATTCGGATCCTCGAGGCAGGCATATAGACCTGGCCAGCTTGCTTTGTGTTTCCAAGGGTCTAAGTCCTCCTTTGTGGTCCTCCTTTGTGGTCCTGCTTTGTGGTCCTGCTTTGTGGCCCTGCTTTGTGTCAGGAAATCGCAATTCACCAATGCGGTACATTAGAAAAAGGTTACGGGAAGATCATCCAGCCACTGTAACTCCTTGACTCTACAGAGTAATGCATCGAAATTGGTCCTCACCTCCACTCCAGTATCTCAGACCCTTTGGTTAATCGACAAAACCACAAATTCATTCGGCTCTCAGTATTCTTGTCACCATGGCACTCACTCGCGCGCAAGCACGCGCCCACCCAAACAACCACCAGCCTCCAGCACTCAATCGTCCAGGTACACCTCCCCCTCTCCCTCTATTCTAGAAGCAACTGTAGCTAATTGGTATCGGATATCAAGTCCAGAGCGGTAAGGTGCGCAAACAGGAACACCAAAAGACATCTCGCCAGCTCCTTAAGCGAACCGACCTCGCGCAGACGAACGGTGTGTTGTGCTCGCCTCTACAGACGCCGACCCTCCCCTCCGAAGCCATCTCGAGAGCTCCAGACGCCTGCTGCATCTTTACGCCGGAAACGACAGCGTGAAGATCAAGACGCTCCGGAACAGCCTGAGCATCGTGCTCTCAAGGGCAACCGCCCATCCAACCGAACGCCTCAATCGCCAGACAACGGCGAGACCGACGAGACCGATCCCATCGCTTGTTGGGTCACAAAGGGACGCTGGCCAGCACGACACAAGCAATATTCTGACACGGAGCGCGTTCTTGCCAGAAAGAAGTCTTCGCCTTCTTTGAGGAGCCGCAAGCGATCGGAGCCTGGCTCTGCCAGCTCTGCGACTCCCAACGACCAAAGACCCAGGGAAGAGAAGTGTGCGCCGTACCACAACCCACGGTACCAGACGCTGCTCGAGACAAAGGGCAGCTTCATGGACAAGTCGAAACTGGGCATCACTGATGAAAGCAAGTCCCTTTGCCGAACACTACTTGAGAAGGAGCAGCAAACACCTAGAGACTCCCTGTTTCGCGACGATATTTTCGAAGACACTTGCCAGAAAGTCAAAAACAGGAATGAGGTAAGAATCATAAGGGACATCACCCCGTTGATCGTCCCCTCCGCGGAGACTCTTGCTACCTATGGGGATAAGGAGCTTGATTGTTTGATTGAAAGCACCAACGAAGGATGGAGCAACTCTCTCCCTCTGACAAGCATTCGACCACAGCCTGACTTCTCGGTAGGCTTTAGGCGCCATGCATTTTCAGAGGAGCAGCTCAAAAAGCTCTCCCCCTTTATCGGTAACTTCATTGCCGGTGACCAGTCCTTCTTTATGGCGACATACCAGATGTACTTCCCTTTTCTCACATGTGAGGTCAAGTGTGGCGCCGCAGCGCTTGAAATCGCAGATCGCCAGAATGCTCATAGCATGACCCTTGCCGTAAGAGCTATTATCGAGCTCTTCCGTCTTGTCGGCCGTGAGAAGGAAGTCAACCGCCAGATACTAGCTTTCTCGATCTCTCATAACCATCGAATTGTACAAGTCTACGGCCATTATGCAGTAGTTCAGGATAAGGATACGAAATACTACCGCCATCCAGTTCGCACCTTTGACTTCACCGAACTTGACGGCAAGGACAAATGGACGGCCTACTGTTTTATAAGAAATATTTATGATATTTGGATGCCAGGACACTTTACGAGGATTTGCTCGGCAATTGACAAGTTGCCATCTCACTTGGATTTCAACATTCCGCCGCTTGTAGAAACTGGACTCTCCCAAGAATTCGAAAGCCACCATCCGTCCGAGTCATATATTGCCTCTGAACGGGAACCTGACCTGCAGTCCAGCACCGCCGAGGAGCAAGGATTAACTCCAGATCTTTTGTCTGCAGGGCCCGGTGCGGCGAAAAGACTGAGGAGAAGGCAAGGCTGATGAATGTAAGTGGTAAACAAGTCAAGGTTCACGATAATTACTTGAAAGAACTTGTAAATAATTGGTATGGATAGCTGCAGCTCAGAATTAACCTATGGTGATACGTTGACACTCTGCTTTTAGCCAAGTAGTAACTCCCAACTTATGGGGAAGACAGTCGCATTCCGAGGATTCCTATATGGCTGATCAAACACAATAGAGAGATCCCCGGGAAGGATTAAGTTGGTATTTGATATTGAAAAGACACGCTGAAGGATTCAAGAGAAACTACAATAAGTCTAACTGAAATGATCCAATGCACTTGATATGGATATTTGACACAGACCTGCAGGGACCTCATAGTCTACATAAGAAGAGTTCTTGAGCCTTTCCTGGGGTGCTGCGTAAGATCCAAGGCAAAGGAAAAATCCAGTGATGATTGTAAAACTGAAGGTATCCATGCCAAGATAATGATAGTGATTAAAATAATGAGGTAGATTAAGGACAACTTAGGTAAATTTAGGATAGCTTTAGCAAACTTGGGACAGTTTTAGTAAATTTAGGATAGATTTAGGGGAGCCTCTCTAGCCTTCATTAATTCATCATCAGAATGCGACAATACGTAACATAGTCCAAAGCGTATGACACTAACTAGGTAACTAAATAGCTAAACAAACAAATTGGTCCGGCGGGGGGTGCTTAGCCTGTGGTTTCCCTCACGAATGCTGTCATTGGATTATCGATTTGATGCCCGACTGGAGGACTTGCATTACTCCGGCGGGGAAGCGATTGGCTTACACGACATGAAGATCATCCAACAGAGATACTTATTACACGACAGCAGAATGAGAACTAGAAACTCATAGATTTTGTGAAACATAGAACTGGTATGTTCTCTTTTCTCCTCACTCTCATCTTCAGGCAGTATCATCCATTCCCCTGCCATCTGAAGGCTGGAAACCATCATGTTCTTCGACGACAAGACTCGCCTTCGCTACAAATACGATGCAGAGGAACTCTGGATTGAGCCATGGGGTCCAAATGCATTCCGTGTGAGGGCGACCAAAGCCGCCGTGATGCCATCACAAGATTGGGCCCTCCAGAAGCTTACAGAAGTGACGCCAGAAATCTCTATTTCTGACGAGTCTGCATCCATCAAGAATGGCAACATCAAAGCCCGCATCTCCCGCCAGGGCAAATTGATCATTGAGAAAGTAGATGGGAAACTGATTCTGGAAGAGTACTCTCGTCATAGACGGGATCTTCTCGATCCAAAATGCAGTGCTCTGGAAGTGGAGGCTCGCGAGTTCAAGGGTATTCTGGGAACAGACAACTATCATCTGACAATGCGTCTTGAGAGTGTCAGTCCAGAGGAGAAGATCTTTGGAATGGGCCAGTATCAACAGCCTTGGCTTGATCTGAAAGGACTCGATCTTGAGCTGGCACACCGCAACTCTCAAGCAAGCGTTCCCTTTGCTGTGTCCTCACTTGGATATGGACTGTTGTGGAACAACCCCGCGATAGGAAGAGCTGTATTTGGCAAGAACATCATGAGCTTCGAAGCATTCTCAACTCAAATCCTCGACTATTGGATTGTCGCAGGGGATACACCAGCAGAGATCGTTGAAGCATACGCAGATGCTACTGGCAAAGTTCCCATAATGCCTGAGTATGGACTTGGGTTCTGGCAGTGTAAGCTCCGATACCAGACACAAGAGGAGCTTCTCGAGGTAGCTAGGGAATACAAGCGTCGGGAAATTCCGATTGATCTCATAGTTATAGATTTCTTCCATTGGCCCAAGCAAGGAGACTGGAAATTCGATTCAGATTACTGGCCTGATCCCGGTGAGTACCGACGGAAGACAGTGAAGAAAAAGCTTGCTAACGACGATCAGATGCTATGGTGAAGGAGCTCACGGATCTCGGAATCGAGCTCATGGTTTCTATCTGGCCAACTGTTGATAAAACAGCCGAAAATTACCAGTACATGCTGGAGCATGGATATTTGATCCGAACTGATAGAGGTGTCCGTATTGGCCTCGACTTCCAGGGCCAAACGGTACATATTGACACCACAAACCCAGACGCAAGGAAATATATATGGGATACAGTAAACAAGAACTACTACTCCAAAGGCATCAAGACGTTCTGGCTCGATGAAGCAGAACCAGAATATGCAGCATATGACTTTGACAACTATCGATACTGGCTAGGCTCCAACGGGACGATTGGAAATATCTATCCCGTCAACTATGCTCAGGCCTTTTATGAAGGCCAGGAGGCAGCGGGTCAGAAGAACATCGTCAATCTCCTTCGCTGTGCTTGGGCTGGCAGCCAAAAGTACGGAGCTCTTGTGTGGAGCGGAGATATTGCCTCTTCATGGTCTAGCTTCCACAACCAGCTATGCGCAGGCCTCAACATGGGTCTTTCGGGCATCCCCTGGTGGACCACAGATATCGGCGGATTTCATGGAGGCGATCCCAACGATGAAGGCTTCAGAGAGCTCTTTGTGCGGTGGTTCCAGTGGGGTGCATTCTGCCCTGTTATGAGACTTCATGGTGACCGTGAACCTCAACAACCACAGCAAGGGACGACAGGCGGTGCGACCTGTCGCAGTGGAGCGCCTAACGAGGTCTGGTCTTATGGCCCTCAAGTTTATGATATCTGTGTCAAGTATATCAAGATTAGAGAGGACCTTCGACCGTACACTCGAAAGCTTATGAAAGAAGCGCATGAAAAGGGAACACCAGTCATGCGACCTCTGTTCTATGAGTTCCCCGACGATAAGAATTCCTGGGACATTTCGACTCAGTACCTCTATGGTGACAAGTATCTGGTCTGTCCTGTATTAAAACCGGGTCAAACCAAGACGGAAGTCTACCTACCAAAGCTCTCAAATGGAGAGAAATGGTCTTCTTTCAACGGTAATGAGTCTTACGAATCCGGAGCAACGGTCACTGTTGACTGTCCTTTGACTCAGATGCCAGTCTTTGTTCGGGGAGCATGAGACTTTCGGGTCGCTGGGAGTTCATGGTACGTAGAGCACTCTGGCAGAGTGGGTATCTCAAAATTACAAGAGGAAGTGAGAAGAAGTTATTAGAGTACACACGTTCCACTTACACGTCCGTTTTCTTGTGCAGTGGTACCATGTAACAGACTCGTCAAGCCCTTAATATAGGAAGCTTCGATCCCCCATTCCTTGTTTTTGGCTCTTGCATGTGATAATATCCTTATACCTTCTTTGAGAATCTTCGGTGGAGCATTGGGGCTGCAGATATTGCCAACTCGTTGCATGTGGCCAGCAATCTTATGCCCCCGACTTATATATACTTGTACCATTTCATCATCACAAGGACGATCAAGATGGATAAACGTCGGATCTGGCTCCTCCTCGCTCTCTACCTCATCAGTTGCAACTGAACCCTGCGATTCACGATCCCCTGAAGCTGGCGCCGACCTTGACACTGCATCACACCGTTGTTGCTGGGACTCGGTCCTAGGAGTATTGAACACGCTGTAAGCCCATATCGAGAGGGTAGCAAGGTAAATAGCATGGGGCTCTATGAAGTCGTTGCTACTATATCGACGGACATGCCACAGCAAAGCGCCAGCATGGATGATGGACAGCCTTGCCTTATACTGGTCGATGTTGGCCCAGCGTTGAATGTGATTACATGCTTCCGAGTATTCCACATTGTTTTGAAGCTCGTTGACATTTTGTCGTAGGACTGCAGACGCAGCGACCTTCTGAAAATGTTTCGTAGGTGTCAAGATATACAACCGGGAAAGGTGGAGGTGAAGAATCGTCGGGTGCTCTGTCCCACCAGCATTAGCTGCTTTGCCGTTCGCTTTCCAATGCAAGATATCAAAGGCGTCACAGGCACTGTTTCTCCATCTTGTGACCATTTCAAGAGTTGGTGGCCACGTTTCAGTCACGGAAACTGATTCCTTTCGTGGCTCAACATGAGCAACTGGAGTCCATCGTGACAAGGCCGTTCCATACTGGTAGGCTGCTTCCTTGGTCCTCGCACAAACTGCGTATATCAGAACGATGTTTCCAAACTCCGTTAAGTTGGATGGCTGCCGCTTTTCCATGTAAAGAAGATGAAGTGCCTCGAGTACCGTGACTATCCGAATATTCTAAAGTCAGTATAAGCCAGATGTCGTTCGCTTAGATTTCAAAATACAAACCCTGATGCGCGTCCCTACTATGTATTTGTTCCATGGTTGGCTGGTTCCATATCGACTCTCGGCACGGAAGTCTTGTTCTGAGCTCGTGTACTTTCAATACTTGAGGACAGTTAAATTCGTGGGAAACGATCGTGTCGAGGACCTAAATAACCATGAGAGTGTGTCTCTGAAGATAAGGCTAGACTTACCCAAATCATCAAGCCAGTGCGCAACTTTGACTGAGTTTGCATCCATGCCGAGATAGCTACATCGCCATCTTGAATTGGCGTGTCAGTAGTTTGTGGTGGGGTCTGTGAAAGTAGGTCCATTGTCCTGCATTCCTCTACGAGAGCGAGCCTTTGATACAGAGCCCAGTCCATCATGACTTCTTGGCCGCTATGAATTCGAGAGATTATGTTCAGAATAGATGCTTGAAGTGTTTGGAGGTCCATCCGGCCATGTGATTGAAAGTTGCCAGGCACCCAAATACCGTTTGCACTGCCGGTGTTTTCTTTGATTATGGAGTCAACCCTGTGCTTCAAACCCTTGTCTAGAAGTTCTGACATAACCGATGACCACCTACTCCCAGCATACCGAGCGCCAGTGGTTGCTACAGCTAGTAACAGGATCCAGTTGTCTGAAATTTGCCAGACGGAGGAGTTTTTCTGTAGAAACGGATACGTCGGGTGAAAGCATTGGTAATACAGCAGCACAAAGGCCCTGATGTTTTCCAGAGGGGGGATCTGAACGTCTAAATCAAGCGACGGATCGATCCCAATCTCATCCTGAACCACGGACGATAGTTTGGAGTAGAGAGCCTCTGGCACAAACGTATTATCAGAGGATTCTCG